CCCGGGGTCGGCTGAGGGTAGGGTTTCTCTTTTGTATCGGCCACACGTCCCATTCAAGGGCGCGGGGGCAGAGGCGAGGGTCGACCACCCCTCACGCCCCAACCCTCGGGCAGCGAGAGGCCGGAAGAGGACTGGAAAGGGCAGCGGGGCTGCTTACCGAAACCAGCGAGGGCAGGTCAGCTCGTCGCGGGGTGCGCTGGCCGTCTAGGGGCTCCCGAACTCATCACGGGAGCTGGAGGGCCGCGGCAGGGGGGGGGGTGGCGAGGAGGAGGCAAGTTCAAGCTCTCCCTCTGGGCATGCCTGGCCGCCGAGTAGGAGCGCTGCTTCGGCCGAACATTCAGGAAAGCCGGGAGTCGGGGGTATCTGCGGGGTGGAGCCGCGGGTGCGGGGCTGGTTGCGCCGCGCGCTGGGGCCGGGGGTGCGCCCCGGGCGCACGCCAGGCCCCGCCAGGCTCCGGGGAAAGTTCTTGTGGCAGCGCGAAAGGGGGCGCCCCGGGCGGAAGCAGCCCAGGTACTCCCGGGCCCGGCCCTGGCGTGGGCAAAAGAAAGGCCCGCAGCGACGCGGCAGCCCCAGGACCTCAGCCGGGCGCCCGTCAGCTGGGGACGGAGGGCGGAGCGGCTAGGTGCCGCCGACAGGTCTCGTCGAGAGAACCGCGCGCGGCGAAGCGCTGGAGCCCAGCGGCCGTCGGGAGGTCGCGGTGTCCGTTTCCCAGGGAGACCGGGAGGCTGGCTCCGAGAGGGCCGGGCGCAGTTGTGCTCCCACCCACCCAGCCTTGGGCGAACCCAGTCCCACGCCCTCCGCGCGGCCCGCCGCCGTCAGGACTGGCGGGCACAATAGCTCTGAGGCTGCAGTGACCCCTGGTGGGTCCCCGTGTCCGTGCACAGGCAACGAGGCTGAGTTAGGGCCGAAACAGAGACTCTGGGAGCAGGTGCAGCCGGTGCTCTCCAGCTGGGAACCAGCAGGGAGTCGCAGTTCAGAAGAGGCATCTGGGGAGGACGTGGAGCCGGGTGGACTTTGGGCCTCCCAGAAAACGTCTCTGCTCTATACTAAATATTAGAGCAAAAACTTTTGCGTAAGGCATCGTTTTTGAGTGCCCTCCTCTCCCACCCATTAGCTTGGGTAATCCGAGCTAAAAGAAAAAGAAAAGAAAAAGCTTTAAAACCCTGGGAAAATCTGGGTGCCTGTGGCTCACACCTATAATCCTAGCTACTCAGGAGGCTGAGATCCCTGAATCGTGGTCAGCCATGACAGGTTATCTACAATTAACCGCCAAAAATACAAGGTGGCTCAAGTGATAGAGCACCAACCTTGAGCAAAAAAGCTGAGACGGCACCCGGGCCCTGAGTTCAAGCACCAATACTGGCACACGCACACACACACACATCAGGAAGGTAGTGCTATTTAAAAAGTGGTTCCCACAGCACAGTAGAGATAAAGTGAACAGTTTGCAACATGAGGCGGGGTGAGGAGGGGGGTTCCGATCTCTAGTGATTTGTGGAAGCCTCATCCTTCCCTGACACGGTGGCCCCATCTAAAAGCAGATCGCCACTTTTTGTTTCCAAAGTACAAAATAAGGTTCGTGTTTGGCATGAACTTTACCTTTTGTAAATAAAACCTATTTTATCTCTTAGGATTTCTGTGACATTGAAGCAGGTTTTGAAATTCTGCATCAACTTCGGGTTTTATTGCAAGGTTTTTTTTTGGTTTTTTTTTTTTTCTGGACTGACACCTTTCAGTTTAGTTTCAGTTTTAGCTTTGCTGTTCTAAGTAGACTTTCCCTAACACAAGTTACCAAATGTGATTGGAAGATATAATGAATTTTTATTCTTTACCACAATAGTTAACTGAGCCACATAAACTTGCAAAAACAAAAAGTACAAACGTAATCTTTTTTTCCCTAGTTTTCATTTCACCACCCCACATTTTATAATACTTTGATTTGGTTGTGTGTTTGCTGCTTTACTTCTGATAATAATGGAAAAGGTAAGCCAGGAATTCTGTTACCAGCTCCAAACAAAGAAAGGTTAAAAAAAAAAAAAAAGCATTGTCATGACACAGGCAAGATGCTCTTTGCTAGGTGAGCCATTTTCACTTCTAGCTCTTTAGTAAAGACTAGAAAAAAGAAAAACTTAAATCTCTTCAACAAAAAGTTGGAGCTTTTAGAGATAAGATTTCACAAGCTTGGCACCTGTGGCTTCTGCCTGTAATCCTAGTTGTTCAGGAGGCTGAGACCTGCAGGCTCAAGGTTCCAAGCCAACCTGAACAGAAAGTTGGAGAGACACCATCTTCAATGAACCAGCAAAATGCCACACTGGAGGGATAGTTCAAGTGGTTGTGTAGCAGCCATGAGCAAAAAAGTTCAATGAGAGTGAGGCACTGAGTTGAAGTCCCAGTACTGCCTTGAAGTCTCAGTACTAGCACACACACACACACACACACACACACACACACACACATTTCATGATTCCATAGACTTTTTAACAGTATTATTGAGTATAATTGGCATGCCATGAACTACATATATTTAAGGCAAACAATTTAGTAGGTTTTGACAAATGTATACATCTATAAAACTATCACCTGGTAAACATGTCCATCACTGGCTTAAGTTTTCTTCCACACTCTTGGAATCCCTCCCTCCTTCCCATACCTCACCACACTTCCCAAGGCACCACAGATCTGCTTTCTGTAACTAACCTATAAATTACCTAACTTCTTTGAGTTTATATAAATGGAATCACACGTTGTCAAGTCTTCTTGTCTGGTTTGTTTTACTCAATTCAATTATTTTGAGATTTATCCATGTTGTATATAGAAAGAGTTCACTCAGTTTTATTTCTTCGTAATATTTTATTGTGTGTTACACATTTATTTTCCCATTCATTTTCATGGTTTTTCAGTTTGGGACAATTACAAATAAAGCTTCTATACAGCTCATAGTTGTTACCTCAGGTGGCCCAAACAAAATAGCATAGACTGGGTGGCTAAAACAATTTTTTCCAGAGGCCATAAGTCTATGGTCATTGTATCATGGTTCATGGCTGCTTATAGACAGCTTCCATCTTGCTGTGTGTTCATGTGATTGCTTCTTCGTGTGTTCAAGAGAGGGAGGGAGGAAGAAGGGAGTAAGAGAGGGAATGTGTTTGAGCACCTGGGATGTATCATAAGGACACAAATCCTTAGTATCAGGGTACTACCCTTATTTCATTTAATCTCCTGTCTCTAAATATAATCATTATGTTAGGGTTTCCACATAAGAATCTGAAGAGGTACAACTGGATCCATAGTAAAAGTCCATGTCTTAATATGAACTTGTTATTTCTTTTTAAATAAAAATTGAAATGACTAGATCAGAAGATAGCCAAATGACAGATAAGCACATGAGAAGATATTTGACACATTAGTCATTAGGGAAATGCATGTTATAAAATCACTGTAAAATACGACTATACCCCTACTGGGATGGCTGTCCTACCACAGATCGGCTTTGCTACCATACTATGGCACCGTACCAAGCATTGGTAAGGATAAGGGACGAGAAGAAACTGGAATTCTCAAACACTGTTAGGTGTATATTACACACTGACTAATACTTTGGTAGTTTCTTAAAAGCTGTACATAACTTTCCACAGAATTTGGTAGGAACATTTTCTCTGCCTATCCAGAGAAATGAATTAACAAGATACTATTGAAACTCTTTTATTAGAAAAATCACAGAGCCTTTCAACATGTGCACAACATAATACTCTGTTTAAAGCTCTGTCAAAGGCTTTGATCTTTTTTCTGGGTTTTTATAAAAAAATATTTTCTTTGGTCCAGATGATATTTTGTCATACTAAACCTAATGTAGATGAGTCAATGACACACAAATTCAGAATCAATATAATTCTACAAAATATGCTTACCATGTGTGGGGTTTTAAGGATCCCCATCCTGGAAGAAAACATCCCAGAGTATGATCAAAGCACATTCATGTATATATGTAGATGCTGTAGTGAGACTCATCAAAAATCTATAAAATGGCCCCCTCACCCTGGCTGAAACATATACTGCAGAATGACAAACAAGTCTTTCCCTCTCTCTCTCTCTCTCTTTCTTTCTTTCTTTTTCTTTCTTTCTGTTTTTCTCTCCTTCTTTCTTTCTTTTCTTTCTTCCTTTCTTCATTCCTTTTTTTTTTTTTGCCAGTCCTGGGATCCAAACTTGGCTTGGGTACTGTCCCTGAGCATCTTTTTGCTTAAGGCTAGCACTCTACCACTTCATCCACAGCACCACTTCCAGCCTTTTCTGTGATTAATTGGAGATACACCACAGCACCACTTCCAACCTTTTCTAAGTGTATATGATTAATTGGAGATAAGTCTCATGGACTGTCCTGTCCAGACTGGCTTCAAACTGTGATCCTCAGTTCTCAGCCTTCTGAGTAGCTAGGATTACAAGCATGAGCCACTGGCACCCTGTACAAGGCTCTTTTAAACCTATCATATTTTATACATCTAAACCCATGTCTCTTTTTTCTCTCCCTCCCTCCTTCTCTCCCTCTCCCTCTGTCTCCCTCTCTCCACCCCCTTCCTCATTGTGCGTGTACTGGGGCTTGAATTCAGGGCCTTGAGCGCT